GTACCGATGTGGTAATGGTTCGCGATATCGGCTCCGGTGCTATTGCCATGCGCACTGCGCTGGCCTTTGCCGCGAGCTTTCTTGCGGGGGAACTGGCTATGGTTTTCGAGCACCTGCCGACCAAGCAAGGAAACTTACGGATGACAGCGGCGAGTCGTCTCTCGCCTGAGGTGCACACATCCCCGCAATTCCTTTTCGTAAGCTGCTTCGGAATAGAGAGCGTAGTGACAGTGCGTCTGGCCAAGAGCATCCACGGGCTACCTGCGGCACCATGCGCTGATAGCTACGCCCTGGTATATTATTGCAGCGACGTTGCGCCAGGATTTCACTTCTACGGATCCGAAGGCGCAGCCTTTAATATCCACGACATTACTGGGACCACACATGCGCGTACAATCCAATGTCTTACGTCCTCAAAACCTTTGGCAGGCTTCGACGGGGATCCATATAAGTTTGAGACCCTGGCGGGCACGCCAGCCTCCGGCGGCAGCGCCCAGGAGGAGCAACGACCTCTAGTACCAGCCGCACTCGACAGCAGGCGACCGATTATCGCTGGGGAATCAGAAATGGACTCGGCAGCGCATTCATGGAAATGTGGCGTATTGAATTCCAAGAGGAAAAGGAACTAGTTGTGACTCCCTCGTTGGTGCCCCTGTGTTGCGCACCTACTGAAACAGCCCCCGACAAACATGCGCTCGTGACTGTGGCCAGTGAAGAGCAAGAGTGCTCTCAGGGGATAGGCTGTGCTCGCCGTGGCGACGCCGACGGAACATTGCTGGTACTTTGGACCACGATCTACGATGAAACCTATGATCTGAATTTGGAATGCCGTCAGTATGTTGCGCTGTGCTTCACTACTGACATGGCTAAGATTGTCTTGGCGGAGCACCTGCGCGAATCGCTATGCGCCAGCCAGAGAATTGCAACGCGCGTGGATGTCTCAGCCGCAGCTAAGAGAGCTGTGGTCGCCTTAGTAGACGACCTCCTGGCGATGGCAGCAATGCAGGCCAACTCGGCCATGTACCCAGATTCTTCTACGCAGAATTCCACGCGTGGTACGACAGCAAATGCTTCGAGATGCCGAATATCCGACTTGCAGTGCGCAACATGGCGCCTAGATGTGCGCGCAGGTCGAAGTTCCTGAAGACCGAAGAGGACGAACTTGAACGAACCATGCGACTTCGTCTAGGCCTCCGGTTTTATGGGCGTCGAAGCGTTCGGCGCGGAAACCTGCTCAGGCTCAGCTCGTCGAGCAATCCAAATATGGCTAGCCTGCGCGGCCGCGTGCATGGGGATCATGTATCGTTGCGTCCATGAACATTGAACGTTGGAAAGCTTGCCTGAAGGGCCTGACTTGCCGTGTGCTGGCAGAGTCCGCTGGGGGGAAATATCGCATGAGCTGTTTGCTCTGGCCGCGTCCAACAGGATCAGGATGCGTATGTCAGACAATGTCATTCTTATGCTGCGCCCAGAACTTGCGGGCGCTGTAGCGGAAGCAAAGGCGACGACAACCGTGCCCGATATGTTCATCAGTTTACGTGATGCGTTAGCGCATGCACGAATCACGCAGGTATGGTTAATGGTATCCGTGGACCCCTTGCAAGGATTACGGGGGCTGCTGGTCAACATCTCATAATATATAATTTAGGACTCCGACAGGAGAAGTGGACCTCAACAGTGACTCTGGTCACCGTCGCCTCATCGGCGACGGAGGCGATGAAGTGCAGGCGCATGACATCCGAAGGGGCCAACCTTACTGCGCGGATCCGCGCCTAATGGCAAGGCAGTAGTACGTTTTATCGAAACGTTCTGCAAGTCGCGCCGCTTGCAGGTGTGTTCCAGCTACTCAGCTAAAACACGGGCGGCGGCTCAGAATTTAAAGACTGCCACTCCGCTATTGTGACGCTGCGCGAGCTCAGGGCTGGACACTAACGCCGACGCAACTGAGTAACTTTTCAAAGTTCGGTGGTCTCAGTATCGAGGCCATCCTTACCGTGGGCGCTGAATCGGTCTTCAAATCCTTGTCAAGTAAGGCCTTGCAACCGACCGAATGCACCCTGCTGGGATATATCAGCTGGGAGACATATGATGGGCCGGGGCCTTGTTCGCAGCGTGCAGTGGTGTGATGCGCGTGATGGTGCAGCCGAGGGCCATGCCGCAGGCTGTATTGATCGTGGGTCACTTCTGCAAGTACTGGAAGGTAAGCAGTCCTTCAAACACGAGGCAAGGAAGCATGTGCCCGATCGAGGCAACAAGCGGCAGCATCAACTTAGGGATGCCCTTTGGAGGGCCAGCGGATGCGGTGTATGATGGGTTATCTCGCAGCCAATCTAGGCTTGCATGCGGGCTGCGGTTGGCCACCTGCTTCCAATCTGAGCTCGGGCACGGGCTACCTATACCAACGTGCCCAGACACGGAATGTTTTTTTTGGGCGCGTGACGATTTCGTCGGGTATCCTTCTGTGCTCTGCAAAGCGTAGCACGCTTTGGCGTTTGGAATTTGGCCAGACGTCTCCTAAGTATTTTCGGTTAATCGCGTGGTCCGCATGTGGTTGTCAATGGAGATCGGCGGCTGATCGCGCGGGCTTGGCCGCGACTGGCCCTAGCGCGTTGCGCTGTTCATTTTCGCTTGACTGCGTGCTGCTGGGGTCGTTGAGGAACGACCGCCCTGCCCTCCTCTTTCATTTGGTCTAACGCATTCGGGGTTTGACCTGGCGTTCGACCCGCTCCGCCCCGACATTGAACGGGGGGGGGCTGTATAGCGGGCGCTATATCCTACCGTCGCTGCATTGGTTCCATGCAGCGCTGCCCTATTTGCTTGGCGCGCATTCGCGAGGCGCAAATGGACCTGAGTGTCGGATAAAGGCCACCTTCGCCGTTGTTTTATCCCCTCCACCCCCTGTCCTTTCCCTGGTACTTTTACTTTGCTTGCCATCGAGGGAGAAACTATGGGATGCCACGATTCGTCTCCGACGTTATCCTGAGAGTAGGGTTGCGGTATCACCTCATGGTCAAGGCCCTGACCCTTGCTTTCCACTGCCGGGATTGTGGCTCTGGGAGTCAATGCCGACCTTCTGTGGGTGAGGCCAATGGCGGGCGGTCGCCAGAGGCCATTGGGAGCTTGGTCCTGGGAGCCAATGCCGACCTTCCGTGTCTGGCTCCAATTACGGGAGGTCGTCGGCCAGATGCCGCCATGACTGTAGTTTTGGGAGCCGATGCCGACTCGTAATTGAAGTCGAGTGCGGGACATCGCCAGGCGCCGCCAGGAGCCTGGATCTGGGGGCCACTGGCGACATTCCGTAATTGAGCTAATTACGGGAGGTCGCCAGGGGCCGCCAGGACTTTGGTTATGGAGGTCAACGCCGACTTCGCGCAATTGAAGCTAATCGCGCACTTGACACTAATTTTCGGGATGTCGCCAGGGACTGTCACGGCTGTGGTTCTGGGTGCCAATGCCGGCTTCTCGTAGTTGAAGCCAATTCCAGGAGTTCGCCTGGGGCCGCCACGAGATTGGTTCTGGGAACCAATGCCGACCTCCCGTAATTGAAGCCAAGTGCGGGAGGTCGTTAGGGGGCCGCCAGGACGGTGGTTTTGGGGGGCAATGCCGACCTCCCAGACTTGAAGCCGTCAGGAGCATCCCAGAGCCAGAGCTTTGGCCGCCCTTGGCGACCTCCCGTAACTGGCTCAAATTACGGGAGGTCGGCGTTGGCCCCCAGAACCAAATTTCTGGCGGCTTCTAGCGGTCACCTGTAATTGGCCCCATAGCGGAAGGTCGGCATTGCCCCCAAAGACCAGGCTCTTGGCGGCCGCGGGCGGCGTCCCGTAATTAGCTTCAATTGCGGGAGGGCAGCAGTGGCCCCAAGAACCAGAGTCCTGGCGGCCCGGTGTCGGGCGGTCGGCATTGGCTCTCAATGCCAAAGTCCTGGCTGCCCTTGGCGACCTTTCGTAGTTGGCGTCAATTGCAAGAGGTCGGCACAGGCTCCCATAACTAAGCTCCTGGCGGTCCCTGGCGAAATCCCGTAAATGGTTTCAATCACGAGAAGAATCGGCTCCCGTAGCCAGTGCTGGCATGCCCTGGCGACCTCCCGTAGTTCGCTTCGCTTACGGGAGGTCGGCATTGGCTCCCCGAGCCATAGTCCTGGCGGCCCCTGGCAACCTTCCGTAATTGGTTTCAATTATGGGAGGTCGGCATTGGTTCCCAGAACCAATCTCTTGGCGGTCTCTGGCGACCGCCCGTAATCTTTAATTGCGGGATGCCGGCGTTGGCTACCAGAACCGAACTCTTGGCGGCCTCCGGTGACCTCCCGTAATTGGACGTGGAATTGCGGGAGGTCGCTACAGGCAGCTCGCAGCTCGTATAGAACTGCTTCTGGCCCCCCCCCCCGATTGGGTAAATTGCAGGAGGTGCTATCCAATAGCCAGGTGGGAGTCGTATGTGACCTGTGACCCCCCCCCCGGGACCCCTCCCGGGACCCCCCCCCGGGACCCTCCCCCGTGACCCCTTCCTTCCCTTTCAGCGGGGGAGAATTCAAAGGGAAGGGGCAAAGGGTTTCCTTTCGAGTCAGCTACGACGTTGCTCCATTTCGCTTTGGCTGGCGCGGTTGAGGAGGAGGACCTAGGGAAGGGGAGGGAGCGGCGACGGGCCCAGCGCTTGAGGAGTAGGGCCCAGGGGACGGGGGGGGAGCGTGGAAGGGCCCAGAGAAAGGGGGGCGCAGGGAAAGAGGACGACAGAGTCGACGAATAACGAATGACGGTGACGACGACTCCAACGGACAAGCCCCTCACACATGCCAACAGGATCGCTGGATATTTACATTCACAGATTCCAATCTATTTCAAACGCCTTACCACTTCAATGATCGAGTGGCTTCACCTTTCCGTCCTCATGAGGGCGCGGGCGGAAGCCCAATCTATTTTCAACGCCTTCCTACATTATGTTTCTACATACCTCTTCCGACCGACGGGTATCTCTGCGACGCCGGCCGCATCGTGTCCCCTGAGGAGCTCAGGAACGCCTCCCCGCAGTTGCTGGCCAGCCGCGGGCGCGACCAGGGCCAGCCCAGGCCAGCGGACGGCGGCCCCGGGGAAGCCTCCAGCCCGCTGCCAGATCGCCTGGTCCGCCACAGGCCCGCCGTGAAGAAGAGGGGTCAGCCCTATGATGTTCCAACCTACGCTGACCTTCGAGCACCAGAAAGAATCTCGAGCACCACGAATGTACCGAAACCGGCGGGTTTCACATGCTGGGCCCTGCGAGGCGATCCTCGGCTGACACATCGCCAGCGTGCCGGGCAGGCTTTGCTTCGATACTTTTCTGGGTGCTCGGAATTCGTCCTGGGATGTAGTCCTTCAGCTCGATGGGAAGAAAGGAAGGTCAGCCGATGAGTCGAGAAACCCAGGGCGCCCACGCGGGGCCGGAGCAGATGGGGCTGGAGGACCGCGCCGCCGAATCGCTGGACGCCTCAGGAAATGCGGCTCGATCTGGAGCCCTCGTTTCTCCATGCCGACGTCGCTGATGCGTCGGATGCATGGCCGATACGGCGCGATTCTCCGACCCCGTCTATCACCGCCGACGGAACCACCCCAACCCAACCCGAAGGCCCCAAGTTGCCCTCAATTCCTATTGGGGGCGACGTCGGGGAGCATTGAAAACCAATGCGGGACCCGTACCCCCTCAGGCAGTCCGCCGATGCATTGCTGATGCATCGCCGATGCGGAGCGATTCTCCGACGCCGTCTGCTCTGGCCCCGTTTTGGACAGCCTCCGAGGCTCGGGGTCTCTTGTCGGCGGCGAGCGAGGCGGGGAAGTGAGAAGGAGAAGGCCTTCTCAGAAGGCGGTGGGGCTTCTCAGAGGGCCTCGGGCGTTCTGAGAAGCCTTCTGTGTCTCCGGGGAAGGCCTAGAAAACCATCCAGAAGGCCAGAGGACTTCCGAGCTTTCTGAGAGAAGGCCCGCCACTTCTCACCCCCAGGACTCGCCGCCGATCTTTGGCGGCGGGCGTTCAGGGGGGTGACTCCTGGGGGCGGCCTCTCCTGAGGCGGCGGGGATGCTCTCGGAGAGGGCGCGAGGGTGTCTCGGGAGGAGCCATCCCGGCCTCGGAGTATGGTCTGAGAGGCCTCCAGCTTGGCATCGCTCGGACGTGTGCATTTTTTCTTGGCGAGGGCCATCGAGGAGCATCCTGGATCATCTTGGGAAAAAATACGAGCACGAGGCCGAAAAAGGCACGGGGAATGGACGTCCGAGCGACGGCAAGCCAGTTTCTTCCAAGAAGGCCCACCGTGAAGCAGGGTGGGTTCCTCGAGGAGTCGAGGATCGAGCATGAGCTTCTTGGAATATTTGTTGGAGGCCTCCGAAGACCCCCGCAGGCGTCCACAGAGGCCTGCTGAGAGATTGACAGGAGATCTGCGGACCTGGGCGTGCCTAGAGATAGGCGACGCGCACAGTAAGGGCGCGCGCCTTCATCCAGGGTACCCTCGTGTCCTTGCCCATGTGGCCAGTCCTTTGCCGTTTTCACTGGTCGCCCGCCGCCCCCCCGATCCCAGCTTCGGCCTCCGAGGGTCTTGTCGCGTCCTTGCCACCCGTCCTTCGTACAAGTTCTGGCTGTGAGCGGCGCCTCGAAAAAGATCGAGCCCCGTGGCCGACTTCTCGGAGGACGCTGAGACCATGCGGAGCAAGGCCTTACGGGGTGCTCGATCCCCGTCTGGGCTTACTCAGTCTGGACTCGCCTCCGCTGAACTTCGAGCCCCCAGGCTGCCGAGCAGGAAGACTCGGGATGAAGAGCTGGCCTGGTGGAATGCGGCGAGAGTTCCGGGGGCACATGTCTTGAACAGAGATTTAGCCGTCGGATGTTTGCGGGTGGGTCGAGGACCAGTTCGGCCACGCGCAGAGGGGGTATGGGGGAGAGGGGAAGGCCTCTTAGAATCACCCCTTCTTCTTAGCAGGCGCGGGCCTTGTCTGTGGATGTGAGGTCAGCGCCTTCTGAGAAGCAGCCTCCTTTGAAGAAGCCCTCCCCTCTCCCCTACCCCCTTGTTCGCGCCGCCGCGGTTGCGGTCGGGTCGAGGACCAGTGCAATTCGCTCCAGAGCGTTCAGGAGCGCTCTGGACCAGTGTAAGTCGTTCCAGTGTTCCAGAGCGCTGTCAGAGCGTTCTGGCCTGCGGCGCCCGAACCGCCAACCGCCAGGTCTCCGAGATCCCGGATTCAGCCTGGTCCGATTTTGTTTTGGTCAGAGCTTCGTCTTTTTGGTTTCTGGAGGGAACATTTTGCTCTTCCTGGGCCCTCGGGGGCCTCTGGAGGCCTCCGCAGGGACCTCCTGGGGCCTCCATGGGGACGCCGGTGGGCTGCAGGAGACTTCCCCAGGGGGACGTCATGGAGAGGGGTTCCTGGCCCAGATCTCCTACGATCTGAGTTTTCAATCCTGATGTTTTTATTTGATTTCGGCCTCTGGTGCTGGCTATCGGTCCCTGGGACAACCAAATTTGGATCTGGAACAGAAAAACACCTCCATGGGAGGGGGTCGGTACCCCTGGGATCGCGGATTTAACATCATCGTATCGGCGGATATCAGGCTCATGGGATTGTTCTCTGTTCGCGGCTTCTCGAAGCCCGTCCCCGGCTTCCGCAGACCGTCAAGCAGCGATTCGGGATAAATCGCCAGGCTCGGCGGAGCCCCGAGGTGAGTATCCAGGTCCCGATTACCTGAGGACTTCTTTCCTTGCCTGGCAACTCAAACACCAGGTGGCTCGGTTTTATTCAGACGTGGGACCCCGGGCATCTCGACCTCCCCGGGTTTGTCGATCTGTTCACCCTGGGCGTCGCTGAGCTGTTTTTTGAACGCCCTGGGGCCCGAAGGCGCCCCCCCTCGGAAAACAACGCAGCATTTCCGCCTTGATGTTTTCAAGGCATCGGATGAGGAGACGCCGCATCGCGAGGGGAATCGCGAGCGGAGCCCGGCGTCTTCGCGAGGGTCACCTGGCCCAGGGCCGCAGCTGGCGAAAGATGCGGCGGTCCCAGCGCCATGATCTTAGTGGGGACCTCAGAGGCCCGGCTTCCCAGGTCTCCGACGTCGTGTTTTTTTTTGCAGCGTGGGCCCCGAGATGCTTCCTCCGCGGGAGCGCCTTTCCTTCCCGAGGCGTTTTTTGACTGGCCCAATGCCCAGTGAGGGCCCCCAAATGCTGAGAGTGAGCAGCACCTTTCCATCGTGATTTTCCCACGCCCTCCTGTGTTCGGGCTGGGCATTCGGTCTTCATAGAGCGAGGCTGCTCCACCAATTTCAGCCTGCCCCCTCCACTCGCCGGTCCGCCGCTGAGGTGCTGCGTGAGGCTCCGCCTAGCCGCTTTAGGTGAGGCTGCGCCCCGTTGCTTTAGGTCAATTTGTCGCTGCGTGCCCCGCTTTGGCTGGACTCGCCGCTGGCGCGCTCGCCTGCGGCCGCTGACAAAAAAATACCCCCACCAATGCGACCCCGGCAGTATTGGTGACCCACCTACCGCCTGCCCTTTCCACTCGACGGCTCGCCGCTGAGGTGCTGCGTGAGGCTCCGGCTCACCGCTTTAGGTTAGTTCGTTTGTGCGCGCCCCGGTCTGACTGGACTCGCCGCTGGCGCGCTCGCCTGCGGCCGCTGATTAAAAAATATCCCCGCCGATGCCATTTTGGCTGCGCTTACTGGCTGGTCGCCACCGGGATTTCCAACGCCACCGGGCGGGAGTATCGGTTCTGGCTCTCCTTCTGAGTGGCTGCCCGTTCGCTCGCTTCGTTTGCCTTTTTTTTCCTGCTGCCTAGTCGCGGCCCGACTAGCGTGCGGACGGCGCTTTCGACCCGCCTCACGAGCCTGTTGACCAAAAGTATCCCCACCAATCCGTAACCCTGTGGCTCAAGCCCCTTTGGTTCAAGCCGTCTCGGCTCGAGCACGCCCTTGGTCCAAGTACGCGCCGAGCTCGGTCCCTGTTGCGATGGCTCCCGGCGCCAGCGGCTTCACCGGCGCCGCCCTGCGGCGGCGCCAGCGCCTGGCCGCCGCCGCCCGCGACGGGCCGCCCAGCCTGGGCCCTCCCCTTGCTGCTGCTGTTGCTGCTGCTGCTGCTGCCGCCGCCGCCGCCGCCGCCGCCGCCGCCGCCGCCCCCCCGGAGGCCTGCGCGCGGGAGGCGGCGGCCGGCGGCGGCGGCTCGGCCGCCCCAGTTGCTGCTGACGCTCCTGCAGCTGCCGCCTACCCCCCGGAGGATGGCGTGCGCGCGGCGGCGGGCGGCGGCGGCGCCCCGGCCGCCCGTGTTGCTGCTGACGCTGCTGCCGCTGCCGCTTCCCCACCGGAGGCCGGCGGCCGAGCGGCGGCGGCCCCGCCGCCAGCGCTGCTGGGGGCTGCGATTGCCCGCCGGGGCTTCCCAGCGCGGCCGGCGCGAACGGCGCTGCTGGCGCGGCAGACGCGGCCGTTCCCCGCGGCGCATCCACCGCCGCGAGCGCAGCCAACGGTGCTGGCGCTGCTGGCTCGGACTGCCCTGCCGCGGCCAACGCCGCGAGCGCCCTCCGGGCGGCTGGTGCGGCCAGGGCGGCCAACGCGCGCACCCCCGCCAGCGCCGCGGACGCTGCCGACGCCCTCGGGTGAGACGGCGCGGTCCGTGCTCGCTGGCCCGCGGCCCGCGCCACCTGCGCCGCCGGCGCTGCCGACGCTCCCCGCGTCCGCGTTGCCAGTGCCAGTGTTGCGCCCGACGCAGCCTCAGCTGCCGCCGCCAGTGCCTGCACTGCTGCCGCCGCGAGAGCTGCGCAGGCCTCCCTCTTGGACGGCCGTTGCGGATCTAGCCTTGGCTGCCTGGCGCGCGGCGGGCGCCGTCGCGAGCGCGCTCCCGGGGCACAGAGTGGGCCCGCGTGGAGACAGTCGCAAGTCTGAGGGTGGCGTTCCGCTTGACGACTATTGCGAATCTGAAGGTGGCGTTCCGCTTGAAGACAGTCGCCAATCAGCGGATATACTGGACTTCGCATCTCACAGTCTCACAGTGCGGCCGTTTGCTGCAGCAGTCGTCTGGGGGAGCTACAGACAGGATGGGAGGTCGTGAGCCACGGCGGGTCGGTACTTCCTTCTCCTGGAGACAGGCAGACAGGCGCTCCTCCAGCCCCGCTCCTGTCAGCGCCCCAGGCGCAGTGTCTTCGTGGAGGCCGAAGATGCGCCCGAAAGCGGGCCCCCTCCATGAGACACCATCGTGGCGACAGTTGGGGGCGCTGCAGAGGGCGCGCCCGCGCTCGGAGACGGGCCTCGCATAATAGAGACCAGGGTTCGTATCGGAACGTGCGGCCGTTCGCTGCGACAGTATTCAGGGAAAACTACAGACCGAACAGGGGGTCGTCTGCCGCGGCGTGCCAGTCCCTCCCTCTCCTCGAGACAGGCAGACTGTCGCCCCTGCTGCTCCTCACTCCTATCAGCGCCGTTGGGGCAGCGTCGTTGTGAAGGCTGCAGATGCGACGGAAAGCGCGCCCCCTCCTGGAAACGCCGCCGTGGCGACATTTGTAGGGGGCCAGATGCGAACCCTACCCGGGCCCCCCACGATTTCTGATGAGGAGGGTGGGGTTCACTTCGTTCGGGAGCTCCCGAGCGAAGTGAACCCCACTCTCCCCTTCAGAAATCGTGGGGGGTAGGGGTAGGGTTCGCGTCAGCCCCCCAACTTTGGGGGTGCTGCTGAGGGCGCGCTCCCGCTCGGAGACGTTCCTCGCAAAATAGAGAGTCAGGATTCCGCATCGGAAAGTGCGGCCGTTTGCTGCAACTGTCGTCCGGGGCAGCTGCAGACCGAGCGCGCGGTCGTCAGCCGCAGCGTGCTGGCCCTTCCCCCTCCTGGAAACAGGCAGGCGGACGCCCGTGCTGCTCCTCGCTCCCATCAGCGCCCCTGGGGCGGCATTGCGGTGGAGGCCAGAAATGCGTTCGAAAGTGCGCCCCCTCCTGGACAAATATCGAGGCGATAGTGGGGGGCGCTGCAGACGCCCCCCCCGCGCGCGGAGACGTTCCTTGCAACGTAGAGACTCGGGAGTTTGCGTCGGAACGTGCGGCGGTGAGCTGCAGCAGTCGTCAGGGGGAGCTCGAGAGGGAACGCGCGGTCGTCTGCTGTAGCGCGTCGCCCCCCCCCACCTGGAGACTGGCGGGCTGGCGCCCATGCTGCTCGTCATTCCTATCAGCGTCTGTGGGGCAGCAGTGCGGTGGAGGCCGGAAATGCGCTCGAACGCGCGCCCCCTCCTGGAAACAGCATCGTGGCGACAGCTGCAGAGGGCGCGCCCGCGCTCGGAGACGTTCCTCGCAAAATGGAGAGACTCGGGAGTTCGCATCGGAAAGAGCGGCCGTTAGCTGCAGCAGTCGTCTGGGGGAGCTACAGACCGAGCGCGCGCTCGTTTGCCGCGGCGCGTCGGCCCCCCCCCCCCCTCCTGGGCGCCGGCAGGCGGGCGCCCGTGATGCTCCTCGCCCCCGTCGGCGCCCCTGGGGCAGCCTCGGGGTGGAGGCCGAAAATGCGCTCGAAAGCGCGCCCCCTCCTGGAGACAGCATAGTAGCGACGGTGGGGGGCGCTGCAGAGGGCGCGCCCGCACTCGGAGACGTTCCTCGCAACGTAGAGGCTCAGGGGTCTGCATCGGGAAGTGCGGCCGTTAGCTGCAACAGTTGTCAGGGAGATCCACAGACTGAACAGGTGGTCGTCTGCCGCAGCGTGCCGGCCCCTCTCGCCTCGAGATAGGCGGGCTGTTGTCCCTGCCGCTCCTCGCTTCTATCAGCTTCCCCGGGGCGGCGTCGGTGTGCGTGTGTGTGTGTGTGTGTGTGTGTTTTTGTTATTTATTAATTTTATTTGTTACAGTGTGTTGTGGGATAGTGCGGACAGAGAGCGGGCGCCTCGGAAACGTTGCTGCGGCGTCAATAGGGGGTGCTGCTGGGGGGCGGCGCCGCGCTTCGGAGACCGTGCCGCCCAGAAACCAACTCGCAACATTAATATCGAGAGAGAGAGAGAGAGTGACGAGAGAGAGAGAGAGAGAGAGAGAGATGAGAGAGAGAGGAGAGAGAGAGAGAGAGAGTAGAGATGAGATGAGAGAGAGTGAGGAGAGAGAGAGGAGAGAGAGAGAGAGAGAATGCGAGAGAGAGAGTGAGAGAGTGAGGAGAGATAGAGTTGGGAGAGGGAGAGAGAGAGAGAGAGAGAGAGAGAGAGAGAGAGAGAGACCGGACAAGTAGGCGGACCAGGGTCCGTCCGCGAGGCGCACTGCGGTGCGACAACCCGCCAAACACTATTTTGCGGCGGTGCAGCCTTGAGATACGAGGGCGGGCAACAAACCCCCTCCCCCGGCGCAATGCGACTGACGCTACAGACGGCGGACAGACAGTGAAGATCTCACGTGTCAGACCGCGTGACGAAGGAGGCCCCAACAAGAAAGGCGACGTGCGGACACGTGGCTAGGCGGCTTGGCAGACCGCCAGTTGGGCGCTTGGCCGCAACGCGGCGCGCAGGGACGGGGCACCCCCCGCCTCCACGCCCTGACGCCGTGGACGCGGGGCCACGCGTGCACGCGGGCAGGCAGAATGGCGGAGATTAGCGCGGGGCTCCAGGCGGAGCGCCGCGGAGCGATGACAGCATAGCATGGAGGGTGAGTGGCGGCGCAGCACCATCGGGCGAGGGCGTAAGCAGCTCGGCGATGGCACGCCCGGCGCGGTGGAGGCGCTTGAGCAGAGGGCCTTGACGGGCTTGAGCAGCGGCAAGGTCGGCGGCGAGAGCAGCACACCTCTGCTGGAGAGCGGCCATAGACTGGGACAGCTCGGCTTCGCGGTCGGTGAGGGGCGGCTGCTCTGTGCCTGCGGCCGCGGGCCTCGTGGCGGGGACGAGGTCATCGGTGCGCCTGGCCAGGTGGTGACCAGCGCGGTGCGGCGATCCGTGTGCTGGCGGCCGTCGCCCTTGTGAGGCGACTGGAGGGTAACGCGCGGTCCCAGGGCTGAAGCCGCTAGGGCCACGCCCCGTGAGGACGGAGGAGCCGCAGCCTCGCACCCAGCAACAGTAAAAGCGTGGACGGGGTGCGACGGCCTGACTGGCTCAGTGCCCTGCGGGGGGGGCTGGAGCCGCCCCCGCGGGCTGGCGCTGGTGGGGGGACGGGGTGGGTGGCACGGGGGGACCAATCATGATGCCGTGCGAGGGCTCGGAGGTCAGCCGCGTGGTCGGGTGGCGTCTCGATGAAGCGGCATCGTCGGCAGCGTGGGGTGTCGGCGGGGCGTCGTCTATGCTGCCACCCAATCCGAGGGGATCATAGAGGTCCTCGTCGGCGTCTTGACGGTGAGCGACGTCATCATGTGGGTGCGATGTCGCTCTCGGTGGCGGAGTCGAGGTGGGCGTCGAGAGGCTGCCCGACGGGGCAGGGTTGGCGCTGGCTGGCCCGTCGTCCAGGAAGTTTAATCCCCCGCCGAAGCCGAACGGGTCGTCCTCCTGTTC